AGCGCAGGGACTGGAAGGAACCATGAGTTCAGGCAGATCTGGTGTGAATCCCACTGCACCTCTAATTGCTCTAGGGCCTTGGGTTTCTGCTCCTTAAGCCTCAATGTCTTCATTTGCAAAAACAAGCCAGGAGGCCAGCCCTGTATAAGGTTTAAACAAGCTAACCAGAGAAGAGCCCTCATCAGCCCTTGGCAGAGTGCCTTACTTTAGCCCTTCTGCTGTGGCTGCTCTGGCCCTAATTCTCTGATCCCACATCAGGCCCAGTCTCCTTCCTCACTGCAGTGATACACCTGCATCCTTGGTCTGCCCCAAGCCCACCCTAGGTCAGCAGAAACAGGATGGGTGGCCTGTTCTCAGGTCTGCACACTCTGTTCTCAGGTCACCTTGGGCCAGCGGCTGTGACCTCCTGGGCTGCAGGAAACAATTAGCTATTTTTCCTCCTTCCCCCTCAGTTTTGTTGCTCATCCCTTGGGTGAAGGGGCCCCAGAGGGAAATGCCCCAGCTCCCAGCAGTGTCCAGCCCTTCGGTGCAGCCCAAATGCATGTCTTCTGGCATCGGCCTTGGTTCTAATGAGCTCAAGCCTAAGTCACATTCATACCAGAGCTGGCACTGCTCATCTGATTTCTACCCAGGTTTCCTTCAATAGGCAGCATGCTGGGCCCTGCGATAAATAACAATAATAATGATATCAATAACAGCAATAAAGTCGCCCACACGTGTAGAGTACCCACCCTCTGCCTGCCAGGGTTCTGAGCACTATGCTTATGGGCCAGGACCTATTATTGTCCCCATCTTACAGGTGAGGAAACTGAGCACTGAGAATTCAAATAACTCCCCCAAGGTCACATAGCTAGTCAGTGGCAGAGCTGGGATTGAAACAAATGTTCTCCTGGTGAAAGGTTGATACTGCAAAGAGAGGAATTAAATTCAGCTGCTGATGGCCACTGTGTCAAGCTTCAGGCTAGCTGCTTTCAATATATTATCTCAGTGACTCCTCACCATAGCCTCCAAAATCAACCCTATTGTCCCCATTTACATTTGAGGAAACCAAGGCTCAGAGAGGTCTGCTTGACTCTTCCAAGCGGAGAATAAAATCACATCACTAGGACTCAAGAGAGAAAGTGACAAGACCCTGCAAGAGGGGACAGCTGGCAAAAGGCACGTAGGAGAAGGGGGCATTTCCTTCCAGAAACTTCCTAGACAAACAACCATGTGTACTTGGCACAGCAACCTTCTCACTGTGGCCCAGTCCTCTGTAAGAACCTCTCAGTGGCAGGTCTGGTCTCTTCACCCCATTCTACAGCTGTGCAGACTGAGGCTCCCAGATGTCAAGGTGTCTGAAGTCCCACAGTGAGGCACCAGGCTTCTCAGGGCCCTGTCCCCGAACTGCCTAGCAATTAGGGAGGACCCTGGGGGTAGCAGCTGAAGAAGAAAGAACCCTCCCCACCCCCACTTCTTCCTTCTTCCCCTGTCATGAGACTCTGGTGAGTGTACAGCTCCCTAACAAATTGTAAGCACTCTGAAGGGAGGGGCTGAACTGTCCTGGTCCCCTCTGGCTGCCTAGCTCCAAGCAGAGGGCAGAGCAGAGTGGACTCAAGAAACTTTATTGGAAGGAAGAAGAGGGAGGAATGGGCAGGTTCATAGACCAAATCCATGGGCCTCAGGGCCAACAGGACCCTGTGTGAGTATCACATTTTAAGAGGAAGACATTTCTAGAAGAGATGTTTGTGGGACATGGAGAGGTTTTCTTGGAGGAGAGAAGTGTGTGACCCTGACACTCAGACCTAGGGGCTGTCCTGTTGCAAGGGGGCAGAACAACCCCATGTGGCCCAGACTGGCATGGGCACTAGAGTCGGGAAACACTGGAGAGATGGACTTCAGCTGAACTTAGGAAGGACTTCAGGACAGACAGAGTGGCTGGGTGCTGTGGCTCACACCTGTAATCCCAGTACTTTGGAAGGCTGAGGCAGGAGGATTGCTTGAGGCCAGGAATATGAGAACAGCCTAGGCAACATAGTGAGATACTCCACAAAAAAAATTTTTTTTTAATTCAAAAATTAGCCAGACGTAGTGGTGTGCTAATATAGTCCCAGTTACTTGGGCAGCTGAGGCGAGAGGATCACCTGAGTCCAGGAGTTCAAGGCTGTGGTGAGTTATGATATTGCCACTGCATTTCAGCCCAGATGATAGAGTGAGGACTCAAATTAAAAAAAAAAAAAATGGCAGAGTGGCCCACTGGCTCTTGGGAGACACCGAGCTCCCTGGTATCAGAGGGGCCCAAGTGGGGACTAGGAAGGGGATTTCTACACTAGGGAGGGTCCAGGGCTGGCTCAGGCCCTCCCAGCTAAGACCCTGTAGTCCCAGAAATCAGCCTGTGATTCCAGGAACCCATCTTGTGGTTCTATTCTGTATCTCACTATCATCAAATACCCTCCCAGCTACACTGTCTATGCCAGGCACCATGCTAAGCATTATTCCTCATGCAATTCTCGCACATTCCACATAGGGGATACTGTAATCCCATTAGCTAGGGGGGAAAACCGAGGCTCAGAGAGGCTAAGTGGCTTGTCCAGAGGCAGCACTAGGAAATGTCAACACCTGGAACTGAAAACAGGCTTGTCAGAACTCAAAGCCATCTCATCTCGGCCACTCTGATTCTGATATCCCGAGGTCCCAAGAGTCTCTTTGTGGCCTAAGAGTCCTTCCCCTGGGGAAGAGCCACAGGCCTTGACAACCCCCGGCCCCACCCAACCACAGCCCCCATCTCGGCCTTACCGCAGGCAGCTCCGTGGCTTCCCTAACACTTTCCACCAACAGCAACTATTACTGTAATGGTTCCCCCGAGGGCTGCCAGTCGATCTTCCCCACATGGTTCCCAATTACTCTGGGAGGGGAAGGTGGCTGGGCCACGGGCTGCCCCTCCCCAGACGACCATGTTTAGCTCACACTCTGGTCACAGCAATCATTTCAGCTTAATTTTATTTCCTCTTTATAAATGGGCACAGCACGGGAAATGTTAAAAAAAAAATACATAAAACCAGTTCCTTCACAAGGCTGGGACAGGTTGAGTACCCGCTGTGAGGCAGGCACCTTGGTCTTTTTTCTGCTTTTTCCTCCACTTTTCCTTATTTAAAGTTTTGGCCATGAACTCAGGACAGGTACGGTTAATAAACAGGTTATGGATGGGAGAAGGGGCAGGGAAGGCCCAGGGGAGAGTAGGAAGACTCCCACCCATCCAGGCCACTCTGGAAGGGCTCTGTACAGGAGAAAGGACTCACCAGAGGGAGGGACACTGTCTTCGGGGGGCTCTCTGGAGCCACGCTGCCTACGAAAAGTATTTACATGCATTCGCCACACTGAGGCCAGATGCACTGAGGTGCCAGAGGACACGGGGGGATACTGGGCCCTCAGCCCTAAGATGGCGACTCTCAGACACAGTCTCAGCATCTCTGTAAGTCTGTACAGTTTGTGGGCTTCTATTTACAGGCAAGAGGCCTGGAGAGGCAAGTCCAGGGTTGTGGTTGTCAGGAGGAGAAACCCAAGAAAGGCCACTCCTGCCCCGTGAGGCAAAGTTGGGTCTGCCCCATGTCTGGGGGCCCCCTGGAGGCCTGATGGACGGTTTTGCCAACCCCAGGGGGGTCTGGCCCAAGCACCCTAAGCCCTGCCCGCAGGCCTGCCTAGCCCAGCCCTGGTTGCCATATGCCTCTGGTGATCAAGGGGACCAGCCTTTCAGGCAAGCTCCTCGTCCTATCTGGCCCCCTGGAGACAGAGCCTGGGCTCTAGAAGCCCCAGCCAAAGGGTGGCCCAACCCCAACTTGCTAGGCCTCAGCTTGCCGTGCCCTTGGGCAGCGGAGGCCCCAGGGAAGCTCTCCCGCCATAGAAGCTTCCTCTATTTGGAATGCACTGTGCTTCCAGAACATGCCAGGGCCCCAGGGACACCGTGCCCAGGAGCACTAGGGGTCTTCAGATCCCCTCAGGCAGGCCCTGCACACACCTCACCATGTTTGGGCGTGGGGGTGTGAGGGTCTGTGCCAACATTGCACCTCACAGAGCACCACCTCATCTTTTTAACCCAACTCTCTCTCGGATTGCCTTGCCCCAACCAGCTGGCCAAGAAGGGACTTGGGCTGGTCAGACTGGGAAACTCCATGAGCATAAAGCCCAGACATCTGCCTTGGCCCAGGACGCCATGAACAAGGCCCTTGGCCTCTTCTCTCAAATGCTAAGGACACAGGAGAGAGGCTGGTGCCAGGAGGCCAAGTCGGAAGCCAGCCCCTCGGCGTGAAGTCAAGGGCCTCCACCACAGCTCCAGCCCTATGCAGAGAAGCTGCACCCCTGCTGGGTCTCCCGCCCCAGCACCAGGATCCCCAGGGGCTGGAGGCCTAGGCCCCCTCTCCTTCCTCCCTGGTTTCTCAGCCTCGGCCTGCCAGGCCTTCTCACCAGAGTGCTGTCCCAAGACAGCAGCTCCCCAGGGAGCAGAGTAGGAAGGCTGGGACTTCAGTCTCCTCTGCCCCCAGCGGCCCAACCCTTCTGCTCCAGGAATGTCCAAGGCCAAGCCGCCTTCTCCAGACCTCGGGGCCAAGATGCCTCCCCTACTCCCACCCCTCCCCAAAGGCTGGGGTCAGCGGGCTTCTTCACAAGCCTCTGGGCCCCTGGGATCTGGAAGACAAAGCCCAGCCTGGAAGTGGGACCCCTGGAAAAGACAGGCTGTGGGACGGGTCCCTGAAACCTCGCCTCACTGCCTCTGTACCCCCACCTCTCACCCTGCAGAAATCTGCTGCCAGGGAAGTTTGAAAAGAGAACAGAAATAAGATCTGCCTTCCTGACTTGAATCTGGACTGTGGGTGAGGGGTGGGTGTGAGTGCTAATCACAACTCACACTGCATCCCTTGGGCTCCAAGAGCCCCCACCAAGCACACCCTCCCCAAAAGGAGGTTTGTGACTCTGCATTTGAAATATCTGTGGAAATGACCCCACTTGCTAGGGTAACAAAGGAGGGGGAGGTGAGCTGGGGCCGGTGATACCTCCTCCACTGTCCCCCGGTCTAATCCCTCAAACCCTGGTCCTCAGGGCCTGGGGCACCAGCCTAGGCTGCTTCCAGCTGTGGGCCAGCTGTGTGGCCAAAAGGGTGGGCAGGTGTCCACAGGAGGGCTCAGAACAGGGTGGAGTGAGATTGGCCTGGCCAGGCAGAGGGCAGAGGGTGCAGAGGGCCAGGGCGGAGGGCCCACCCTCACAGGCACTTTGGAGACTTGTGTCCTGGGAGGCAGAGTCAGCCCCCTAACTCAGAGTGGGAAGGGGACACAGGGAGACCAGGTGCCTGACCACATGCTCCCACCCCACCCGGGGTCTTTGGTCCTGGGAAACCCATATACCCTTCATAGTCTGGGGCCAAATTTCAGAAACCAACCCCGCCCTTCCTCAGCCTTGGAGAAGCCCCAGCTGGTGGAGAGCTGGCCCCCAGCCTCCTGCTTTGCAGACAGACTACAGAGGAAAGGCGGCAGGCAGAGGCGAGGCCAGGCCCACCCCATGCAATGCCCTGAGAGGGCTTGTGGCCCCACATTGATTTCAGGAAAGCCAAGGGCCCACCTGTATCTCTCCAGCATTGAGAGCAGGGTTGTGTGATGTGAGCTCGTGCAGCCATGTGGGATTGTGTCTGACACAGGCTGGGGTTGGTGTGATGTGGCTGGTATGGGCGCTGTGCCATGGAACTGAGTGTGACGGGCAAGTCAGGGGGACCCAATATGGGCTGATTGTTCCGGCTTGATTCTACCCTCCCCAATGAGCCTGGAAGCTGGAGACACCATGTGTGGTACCAGAGTGTGCATGTACTGGGGGTAGGGGAGGCCACACTGTCACCACCATGTGACCATGACCAGTTACTTGCATTGCAGCATGGGGGGTGTATAAGCAATGCATGCGGACAAGCATCTTTGGAAGCATGTGTGTGTCTGTGATATGTCTTGATTGGCTGGGTGGTCAGGATTGTGTATGCTCTTGTCATTGCATGGTTTTGTCTTGCGTATGACCGCATGACATGTGTGACAGTGTAGGCGATGGTGTCTGTGCAAAGTCTCCTCGCAGGAGGGACATTAGAGCAGTCCCTCCTCACCAGTGTTGCCCAGCACCCGCAGAAAGCCGTTTCCTCAAGGAAGACGCAGAAAGTAGCAGAGCCTGGGGCTCATGTGCACTTGGCAGGGGAGCAGGGAGAGTGATCCCCAACCCCAGAGAGGCCAGGAAAAAACAGGCTGGTGACAAAGGACACCCTCTCACCCAGGCAGAGCAAGGCCCTGGGACAGGAGCGAGAGGCTGCAGTGTCTAGATGACTTCAAGAGCTGTGTTTGCCAAATGTTTGTCCTGCAAACCAGCCTGGGTGCCTCTCTGCCCCAAAAAGAGACCTCAGCGAGCCCTGTGAGGCCAAGGTTGAGGCTCAGGCCCATCTCAAGCCCCACCCTGTCTTCCACCAGCCAATCAGGAGCCTCCTTCCTCCTGTCCATCTGACATGAGGTCCTGAAGGCCCAGGCTGGTGGAGGGGAAGAAAGACGAGCTCCTTAGGGCAAAGGCTGGGGCAGACGGCAGCACCCCCTTTCCTCAGGGAAGATCTGTGTGAGGCTGGCAGCCTGGGCAGGCCTTGGGAGGGAGGGCAGAGAAGAACTGGGGGCAGGCTCCCTCCTGGGCCCAGTCCCAGGCCTGGGCTGGCGGGGCCGGGCTGGGGACTGGACGGAAGGGCGATGTTGAGGCTGCAGGGAGGCACTGTGGCTCTGCTAGGCATAGAACTCCTCCTGCTTGTCAGGCTTCTGGTACGTGACGCTCGCCTGCTTGGGCTCCTCCAGCGTGTAGCTGCCCTCATCCTTCTTCTTCATGCGGTAGATGAGCAGGGTGACCAAGAAGGCAGCGAAGAGGGCGCCCACTACCCCACCCACAATCACAGCTGTGGAGAGAGAGGGCAGAGGTCAAGGCCAAGGCAGGGAAATCAGGGCTGAGGGGTCTGGGGCATGGGAGCCAGGGGGAGGAGAAGGCTGCGCATCCTGAATCTAAGGTGGGGTGAAGTTGGAGCCAACTCCCACACCCAGAACCGGCTGCCATCCACAGACCTTCCCTGGCTGCGTCCCAGTCGCCTGACACCGGCCCCACTGAGTGCACACAGCAGCCTGTGGAGGGAGGTGCTAGGCTGTCACTAAATCTAAGATGGCGTCGGTCGTGAGATGCTCCAGTATTTTATAACCACTAGGAAAGAAAAATCTCTGCCAACGCAACTATGGCACAGCCCCATGACAGAAGCACTAGCGTGTGAATGGACATGCCTCTTAGATGGATTCAGTGCAAGGGTGACCGCCCCCAATCCAGAAATCAGAACTGGGTCTGCATGAAAGATTATGGCATGTATGAAGGGAGCCTGCAGAGGGGAAGCACCTGCCTGGGGTCAGACCAGGTGTCCAGGGCTCTTCAAGGGAGGTGGTCAGGGTGGGTCCCCAGGGACTGGGGTCAAGGGCAGGGGACGGTCAAGCCAGAGGATGGGTTGGAGATTTGTCTCTAGGAAGTGAGGCCCCAGAGGTCAGCCAGTGTGGCCCAGGAAAGCAGAGGTCAAAGTCAGAGCCCACGCAGGCCACAGAGAGCACAGAGGAGAGTGCCAGGAGGGAGGTGCAGTCAGGTCAGACTCTGAGAGGGGAAGGTCAGCAGAGGCACTAGAGGGCAGGTCTTGGGGGCTGAGTCCCCCGCTCTCCTTTTTCCTTCCTATCCAGCTCCCAGGAAACCCCACACTGACCTCCCCTCAGGGTCCCTAGAGGTAAACTGAGACCCAACCAGCTGCCTCACTCCAGGCTTCCCCCAGACCCCATTTTGACCAGACCCCCAGGCTCACCTACGAGCACCTCCTTCCGCTCCAGGATACTCTTTTGAGGCAGCTGAGCAGCTGAGCTGCCCGAGTCGATGGCATTGTCAAGGAGGCCAGGACCCGGGCGGGCACCCTTGGGCAGTGTCCCAGATGGAGGTGATGGCTTGGCCGCAGCCCCTCCCACAGCCACCACCTCATTGGCTGTGTCTGGCTGTGTGGTCTCTTCTTCTGGCAACTCAAAGTCTCCGCTGGGTCCCCCACTCACCGGCACCTCAGGCTCATCTCGGATCGTGGTCAGGAAGGACTCTGGAGTTGGGGTCTGCAGAGAGGGTGGCATGAAACCAGGAGTCAGACCTCAGCACCCCCTGTCAGGGGGCAGCCACTCACACATGCACCAGCCCACTGCCACTGTTGTACTGCCTAGGTGGCTAACACTTACTAACCACACACCACGTGCCGGGTACTATTAAGAGTCATCCCCATGGGGGAATTCTTACCCTTAATTTACAGAGCAGGAAGGAGGCTCAGAAGTGAAGCCACTTGCCCAAAGACATGCAGTTAGTAAGATCCAGATCTAGCCAACTCTAGAGTCTGTGTTTCTAGCCACTCTACTGCATTGCCTCTGTTCTCACTCAGGTCACATCCTGTCCCCATCCTGTCCCCCACAGCTGCCATAGTAACTGTCCTCAGGGGACTCCTGTCAAGAAGCTGTTTGGGGATGGCTGGGTGCAGCTGTTATGAATGTGGTCCTGGTCCCTGGTCCACACGTCTGAGGCAGAGGTGGGTCTCGTAGCCTAGAGGCCAGTCCAAGGGCACAACCCGCAGAATATAATGCCCCTGGGGCAAGTGTCCAGGGGTACTGCCCACCCAGTGACAAGCCCAATGGCTCCCACCACACAGAGACAGGACAAGAGTTAGGAATCCTGAGACCAGAGTGGGCACCATTGGGGAAGGGGTATAGCTACTTCATATGTGGGCATGGGCAGGGTGGGCCTGGCATCGGGCTGAGAAGAGGCTGTGCCCTTGCCCCCATGTATACAGCATGCACAGTGGCCACCCCAGTGACCGGGCTCTGTGTCCTGTCATTGTTTCCCCTTCCTGCTTGGCCAAGTCTGTGAAAACACCAGGCTGGCCCAGCTGCTGGAGGAGCCAAGGGAATGGCCTGTGTCCTGCTGGGGCCGGCTGAGGGGTCAGAGGGACTGACGTGCTCTGGAGGCAGCTCCTCAGTCTGAGTGCCTCCTCTGTGAGGCTAGCTGCAAAGAGTTCTGGTGCCTGGTCACTGCTGCCACCTCTCCCCAGGGACCAGACACCTCTCCCTGGGGGGCCAGACCACCTCTCCATAGGGGATCAGACCACCTCTACCTTTCCCATCCTGGCCCTCCGGACATCGCCATCCTCTTCCCTTCAATCCCCACTCCCACCTATAATACCCCAAACCACATACACACAGGCATGCATGCCCCAGGCCCTGCAGGGCTGCCCAGCTTCTGACTCCGACTGCCCAGGTTCAAATCCCAACTGCCATTACTGGCTGTGAAGCCTTGGAAAGGGCTTCACCTCAATACCAGATGACTATAGACCAGCCCGTGGCGTGGGCGTGAGGGCTGGGATGACACAGGTACAGTGCTGGTCACTGAGTCACTGCCAGCAGCCCTGCAAAGTGAGCTGAGTTATCTCAAACCTCTTCAAACCACCAATAATAATAACCATGATGACAGCAATGACCACATCTGAGCACTAAGTGTGTTCACTGCCACCAAGTGCTATACTACACACTTGGGGTATGTCAGGAACTTTAACTCTCATGATACCGTGATACACGTTCCATTATTTTCTCCCTTTCACAGATAAAACAGGGTACAGAAAGGACCAGTGACAGGCCTCCTGTCATGTGGCTAAGCAGCAACGGTGGAAGGATCGATCCAGGCCCAGGCTCCTGAGTCTGTACTCTTAACCAGAACACACAGGCCCGTTCCTCCCTGTTACCAACGTACACCTGTGCCCAACTACCCCCCTACTCATGTCTCATCCTGCCATTAAGACCCAACCACTGCAACCCTGGCTTTCTGTCCCTCTTCCCTCCCATCTATCTCGATCTGTCCCCATCTGTGACTCACACCCTGCCTTGATCCTCTGGCCACATCCTCCTTACCACTGTCTGGCTCATCTCTAGAACCTTCTGGTCCTCACCCCTGCCCAGTTCTACCCTCCTTCCCCCAGACCCTCACCTACCTTCTTCCACCCACCATGCCCTCACCTGAGCCACTTCCGTGGGTCCAGGGGCAGTGGTCCCCAGGGGCAGGGTGCTCCTCTCAGTGATGTCAGGCTCCTGGGTGGTAGCCGGCCTGGGAAGGGCTCTTGGCCGCGAGGTAGCTGTGCTGACCAGCCTGGGTGTTGGGGCCTCGGTGTCCAAGACAGCCACTGTGGTGGGAGGGGAGGGTGCCGCGGGGGTGGTGGCCCGGGCCGTGGCTGCTGTGGTCAGTGGAAGAGGCAGAAGCCTCCGAATGCCGGTGGTCCTTATGACAGCAGTGGGGGCCGTGGAAGGGGGTGCTGCCGCAGGGGTGCTGGGGACAATGGTGGCCACTGTGGCGGGCACTGTGGCAGGCACTATGGCCACAGTCGGGGGCCCTGTGGTCATGGCAGCAGTGGTAGCCATGGTAGTGGAGATGGTGGTGGCACTCTGACTGGGCTCTTCAGTGATTTCTGTCACCATCAGGGGGCTGGTGGCTGGCTCTGGCGTGAGGCGCTCAGAGGGGAGCTCTTCCAATGGGGTGCCCACAGGCTGGATGTCCGTGGTAGGCAGCACAGCGGGCGTGGTGGACATTGCCAGGGCCACATCTGGGCTGAGCCGCAAGGCTGTCTCAACGCCTGACTCCTGCTCGAAGTCTGAGGGGGTGGGGGAGAGGGAGAGAGCTAGGGATCTGGGTGGCTCTGAGGGGTATGAGAATCCCAGGTAAGCAACAGCCATCAAGACTGGGGTCTCCCAACCTCCTCTCTTTGCCCAATTTTCCCAGGAAAGATGAAGGAAAGGAGGAAAGCACAGCCTGGCCAAAGGTTATCAGTTGCTAATGTCCCCCAGCTTCTCTCTGCCTAGTCAAAAATTCTTCCAGTGCCACCTCTTCCAGAAAGCCTTCCTTGACTTTCCCAGCCCATCCAACCTGGAGCTTCTATCAAGTTGAATCCAGGGAAGAGCAACTATAATAAGCCCTATGGATTGCAAATCTTGCTGGGGTTGAAGGAGAGAAGAAAATGGCATGCTGGGAAGAAACTCAAACCCAGATGCACTCCCCCCAGGAGCTCAGCCCTCCCTCCCAAAGGCACAGACAGAGGGTAAGAGGGAGAGAGAACCCTTCCTACAGGGGACTGCTTGAGGAATCTGGCTGACTCAAAGCTGGGATAAGTGAGGAACTTGAGAGGAAGTAAGACTGGAAGGGAGAGAGGCCATAGCCAGCTCTGGGGAGGATGGACCAGGCAGACGGGGTGGGGATCCAGGGAGGTTTGGGAGTCGAGATGGGACCCAACAGAAATAGGTTTTTGTAAAGATTAACCTGGCAGAAGCTGAAAGGGGTGAGCTGAGGAAGGGAGACCAGAGACAGGGGCCATGGGAGCCAGTTCCATGACACGCAGACCTGCATCGTCTCATCTCATCAGCCCGAGCCTGATCCTCACGGGGCCTAGTCTCAGCTCCTTTTTGCAACAGTTTGGAGAACTCCTCCTCGGGGCCAGACCCTGACTTCCGACCCAAGCCCTCCCAGGCTCTGAGAGGAAGGTGTACTTATCAGCATCCACAGAAGAGGACACAGAGACTCAGAGGCAGGTCACTGCAGATGCCCAGTTGCTACATGGCAACACTGGGTTTCCAAGCATCCCCTCCCACCACTCTGCTAGACCCACAGACCTGGCTCACCTTCCCCAGGGCAGGGCCAGCGACTGGACTGTCCTGGGTACCCCGTGAGGTGCCTGCCCTTGGTCATCACTGCTCTAGCCCTGCCCCTGGCCACAGCCGATTGGACTGGAGGGGGCCACCTGTCTCAGCTGAGGGTGTGCCCCAGCCCCTGAGAGGTGGCTGCTAACATTCCTCCAGGTGCTTGGAACAGTGATGTGAACCCTGGGCTATGGAGGGGCATCCCATGCTTCCCGAAAGAAGCTGGAGGGCATAGCCCACAGGTCTGCAGAGATAGCCCAACAGCACACAGGAGACAGGAAACCTTGGACAGCTGGGCGTCCTGGGCTCTGACTCCCCCCCGACAGGCCTGGTTGTGTCCCCCAGAGAATATCCTACTATTCTTGTCCTTGGGGTCCACAGGATGCCCTGCCTGACCCATGCAATAAGCTTTCCCGCCTGGCAGAAGTGAGTCTGAGGGAACTCTTCAGAGGAGGTACTGGATGGAGATGGGTCATTGCCCACAAGCAGGAAGAGAGAAGGCAGGTACTTACAGCCTGAGCCTGACCCTGAGTAGAGGTCATCCAGTTCATCATCGGGAAAGGAGTCGTCATCCCCAGAGCCCTCGAGGTCCACAGGCCTCTCGAAGTTCTCGCTACGCCAGCGCTGGGCCTGAGGAAGGCAGAAACAGGCACAGGCTCAGACCCTGAGGCTGCGCAGAGGAATGACAGATGTGCCCGTGGGCCAAGTGACATTCACATGGGCAGCTGGGAGCCACCCAATGGCCACTTCCTACCCACTTCCTGCCTGATGGTCACCACAGGGGACCCCTGGTTGCTTCCTTATCCGCAGTCAAAGTCACCAGGTAGTAGAACCAGGTTTAGAGCTGACTGAATTGCTAGACTTGAGTCCCGGTCCCATACCTTATTAAATATGGGACCTGGGGCAAGTTATTTACCTCTCCATGCCTCACTATACTTGTTTGTGAAACAAGTGAAAAGCACCTGCCTCGTTGGCTGTGAGCATGCAGCATGCTAATTCACCTGCAGGGCCCATCCAGCCCTGTATGCAGCAGGTGCTCAGCACAGGTCAGCTGTCACTCTCTGTGTGGCCAGTGTCATCAGACCCAATCACGAGCATCTTTCACTGGCAAGATCCCACTGAGTCCTCAAGACAGGTGCGGGAGAAGAGTGTGTGAAGCTCACAGCCCATTCCACAGATGAGAGAACTGATACCCACTTGTCCCAGATCATCAAAGAGCAAGTGATGCAATGAGATCCAGCCTCTGCTTAGGACCCTAAGTCTCCCACCTCAAGCTCCCTGTTCTTTAGCCCCATCCCCAACCACAACTTTCCGCAGCTCCAGGCTGAGCCCAGCCACAGTGCCTGCTCCTGGGAGCCTTCAAGAGGAAGGAGAAACTCATACCTGCTATAAGCTATACAGGACATGGCACTTGGGTTTAAATAGGTGAAATCAAGAAAGGCATCTCAGGCAGATGGAGCAGAATAAGCAAAGGCTCCAGGGTGGAGAGGTGCAACCTATGCCCGTGGAACTGGCCCTGGCCCTGCTTGACCTCTAGCCTCACCCAGCCTCACACCCCCTCAAACACTGGACTCCAAGCACCCCGGCCCCTTTCTGTTCCAGAAACATGTCTGGTCTCCCGCCTCTTCACTCATGCTGTTCCCTCTGCTTAGAACACTTCTCCTGCCATCCCCTCATCTTCCAACTTGCAGGCTAACTCCCACTCCCTGTCACTTCTTCGAGAAGTCCTCCTGCTTTGAACTTCCAGGGCATCCCAGGCTCCTAACTCCCAACACCTTTCACTATTTTTGAGCTGCGTTTGCTGGTGCGTGTTTCTGGTCAGTGGCTGTGCCCGCCTCCCCAGACTAGACACTCATAAGGCAGGACAGTGCCCAGCATCTCGAAAGGTGCCTGGCACACAGTAGGTGTTCAGGAAATATTTGCCAAGGGGTGGAACTGGAGTTGGGGGGTGTGAATAATTCACAGGGGAGTGGTGGGGTGGGGGCAAGTCAGCTAGGGCCCCCTCTCAGAAGGCTTCCTGTGTCTGATGACTTTCCCATGGAATCTGGTCATTGTTCAACCTGACTGCATGTGAGGCTATCGTGAAAACTGAGCTCTGGGGCTCAGCAGGTCTGAGATGGTACATGAGCATCTGCGATGTCTGATTAGCTATGGGGAGCCCTGGAAGGTGTGTGAGCAGGAGAGGGGCTGAACGGGCACTGCATGTGGGCTCAGCCTCTCGCCCCCTGCCCCTGGCGGGCCCCTTCTGGAATCTGCACAGAGCCAGAGAGAGAATCTCAATCCGGGTTTCCCACCCCCAGCCTCAACCACCTGCTCCAGAGCCCTACCCAGCCCAGCCAGGGCAGGGAGCCAGGAGTGCCCCTCACCACACACACACAGCCTCGAAGTAATGAATTAATCAGTGTTTACTTTCTACCAGTGAGTCACAAAGTGGAACAATTAGTGTAATTGCTCCCATGACTAATTGCTGGGTCTTCCTCCTCTTTAGACATTGCAGGGGCTTAGAGCAGCTCTGGTCCAACTTGCCCCAGTCCCCATCTCTGTGTGGAAGGTCACATCCCAGGGCTTGGGCTGGGGTGTCAAAGCTGTCCCCATCACTAGCTCAGCAACCTGGGCTAGCCAAGCTGGAGCTTGGAGACTTTCTGCTCCGGTCCCCTCCGATTCCTTGGCAAGCAGCCCCAAGTCACAAAGCAGAGTGGGGACTCAGCAGACACCAGGGTTTGGGCTCCTGCCCCTGGCTGGGGCCATCTTCACCATCTTTCTATCCTTTCAGGCAGGCTGGAAGGCCTTTAGCTGGAGGGAGGATTCTAAGAGGTCTGTGGTCCCTGAGATGACCCCCCTCCCCGAACTGGAGTAAACATGGGAGTCAAAACAGGATATCCTCAAGATTCCTCAGTGATCAGGACAATATACCAGCCTCTAAAATCCCTGCTCCCAGAATGGCCGGCACAAATCCAAAGACCTACTCCCAAAGCCACACAGACCCTTGAAATAACACATGAGATACACAGAGAGACACAGACACACCCTGACACACACTCACCTAAGGCAGTCACCGAGAGGCCTGGCGTGTGGCATGCCTTTGGCGAAAGAGAGGCACATGCACGGGAGGGAGGGGCATGCTGTGTAGCTCGGAGGCTCAGAGACTTGAACATCGGGCCTCCTGTGACTCCGTCAGCCTCCGCTCAGGTAGCTCTCACCTAGATACTATTCATCCCTAGCTCAGTAGCCATCGACATGACAACCGTTGCCATGACAACCATCTTCTCCAAGCTCAGGACCAGGAGCTCCAGCTCCCCACAGAGATGAGGGGATGCGAGAGAGAGCTCATGGGGAACAGAGAGGGTGACAGGGAGGGGCAAGGCGGGAGGTAGAAGATGGAGAGAGACCAGGGGACAGAGGGGCAGGGGCAGAGAGGGGGATGGTGGGGGAGGGTGAGAGAGGGTGAGAAGGCGAGAGAGGGAGGCAGAGGGAGAGAATTCTCTCACATCTTAATTTAGCCTCAGGCTGATCAGACAAAGCTGGGGAAGGGGCCACCTCTGTGATTTTCCAAACCTGCACCCAAGAGAACGTTCTTTCCAAACAGTAAGCAGCCCCCAGACCAGACTGGGTATCAGGGCGGTGGAGGCAATAACCCAGTCACCCTGAGCTCACCCTGGGAAGCTCAGCAGGAACTCAATGCAGGGACACCTGAAATCTGCAGGGCTGGGGCTCAAAGGAGCATCCTCGAAAGAATGCTACAGAGGGTGGGGGGGTGGTAGCTCAGCTCCCAGGGGACAGGGAGGAGGGAGAATGAGAGGGGACAGGGCACAGAGATGGGAGGCAGCAGGAAAGACTTAGAAGTCACAAAGTAACTGAGGAGGAGGGTGACAAACAGCCTTTGACCCCCAAACAACCTCTGCATTTGCATAATCCATGCATAATTAGTATAATTATCCATGCCATCCCCTTAAAGGAGAACTGAATCCAAAAGCCCCAGGACGCTGCTTGCCTCTCACTGACCCTCACCATCCCCCTTGGGTAAACACACCCCCCCATGCTTAATAGGAGGCACCCACATACCCCAGCAGACACACACACACACACAAGCTACAACAGATAGATGATATAGCCCAATCCTCCTGTACACACTACACACCCCAGCAGACACACACACAATTAAGAGTTCATTTACCAGCCCCCACCTGTAGACACACCACAGCCTACAGGTAACACAGCCCGGAAAATGCCAGCACACACTCACCCATCTACCATACCCCTAGGGTACACACAGACACATCCCCCACAGATGCCCCCATGGACCTCAGCAAAGTCTCATAACCATCACACGCTCATCCTCCCAAGGCCCACACCCTCACACGCATGTTCCCCATACCACATATCGCCATTACACGCTGCATCCCCAACATGAGCCTCC